CCCCCCCCCCCCTTTAGGAAAGCAGCTGTTGTCACCATCACCCTAGTAGAATGGGCTCTTGGAGTCATCAGTAATGACCTGTTCTGGAGCGAGTAACAGGTAGTATTGCATGATGTTATCCACTTTGAAATGCACCGAGAAGACAGTGGTTGTCCCTTGGACCTTTCAGCCAGGGATACCAGCAATCTCTAGGATAACCGAAAGGACTGAGTCCTATCAAGATAGAAGGCAATTGACCTTCTAACGTCCAGAGTATGTAAAACGGCCTCCTCTTTGGAGCGGTGCAGTTTTGGATAGAGGGTGGGAAGGATATGGAATTCTGGCAGAACTTTGCATAAAAAGGACAGATGAGGCCACACAATAATCTTGTGCTTATGCAAGGTTGTGTATGGAGGCAAAGCCATGAATGCTGCAAGTTTGCTAACCCACCTTGTGGACTTGACTGTGAGGAGGAACAGCATCTTCGTGGTGAGGAAGATAAATGATGAAGTTGCCATTAGTTCCAAAGGTGCTTTTGTGAGCGAATGGAGGACCAATCCTAAGTCCCTCATGGGAGGTATGGGTTTACACAGTGGGTGAAGGTTTTGTAGACTGTTCCAGAATCTCTTAGGGTATGTCTACACTACCCCGCTAGTTCGAACTAGGGGGGTAATGTAGGCATACCGCACTTGCAAATGAAGCCCGGGATTTGAATTTCCCGGGCTTCATTTGCATAAGCGGGGAGCCGCCATTTTTAAAACCCTGCTGGTTCGAACCCCGTGCAGCGCGGCTACACGGGGCTCGAACTAGGTAGTTCGGACTAGGATTCCTATTCCGAACTACCGGTACACCTCGCGGAACTAGGAATCCTAGTCCGAACTACCTAGTTCGAGCCCTGTGTAGCCGCGCTGCACGGGGTTCGAACCAGCAGGGTTTTAAAAATGGTGGCTCCCCACTTATGCAAATGAAGCCCGGGAAATTCAAATCCCGGGCTTCATTTGCAAGTGCGGTATGCCTACATTACCCCCCTAGTTCGAACTAGGAGGGTAGTGTAGACATACCCTTAGAGATAAGATGGGAAAATACAGAGAACCCATCAAGGGGTGTGTAAAGGCTGTGTAATGGCCACTATATGCACTCAGAGTGATGGGAGCGATACATTTTGTTGTTTCAGATTCATAATATATTCTAGTATCAGGTGGAGCAGCGCCCCAGAGGGTTGGATTTCTGTGTGTGTGCATGACTGCATAAAGTCACACCATTTGTACAGATAAGTCTTGCATGTCTCTTGCCTCCTGCTGTGAGGCAGTATGTTTCTCACTTGCTCGGAACACTGCTACTCTGCTTCCGAGAACCAGATAGGTACCATACCGTCAAGGGTAGCATTCGTGGGTGGGGATGAAGTATTGAGCCCTTGTTCTGGGAGAGAAGGTCCGGGTGGTTTGGAAGCAGGCAGGGAGATCGTTGAGACAGTTGATAAAGACATGGGAACCATATCTGTGAAGGCTATGCTAGTGCTATGAGAATCACGCGGGACCTGTATGCCTGTATCTTCTGGAGAACTCTGAGAATGAGGGGGATAGGAGAAAGGCATATAGTAAATGGGTCCCCCAAGACAGGAGCATTGCATCTCCCAGGAAGCCATATCCTATGCCCACTCTCGAACAGTACTGGGGACATTTGGAGTTCTGTCTGGTTGAGAAGAAGTCTATCTGCAGTACACCCCAACGTTGGAAGAGCTCGTGGGTGATATGATCGTGCAGCTCCCACTTGTGCTCTTTGAGGAAGTTGCTGCTGAGGGTCTCTGCCATAATATTCTTGTCCCCAAGTAAGTATGCTGTTGTGATGGTTACGTTGTGGCGGATACACCATGCATGCTGAAGAGGAAAGGATTGAGCCCCATCCCTAGCCCAGGGCAGCAAAGAAGGAAGTGAGGGAAAAGCAGGCTGCATGTGCTACATCAATGGCGGGAATGCAACTCTCTGCTCACACATGCGCAGCCTGCCTGATGACTGCTTGCAAGTCTCCAATCCATGGCACCAGGCGAGCCCGACGCCAACAGTGGAGCACCCAGGGGACATGACTCGAAGAACCACCCTTGATCACTTTTTAGAGAAGTAAATAACTTGTTATAGAATTATTATCCACAGGGCTCGCCGAGCCACGGTAAGCCCCGCTCGCCAAGCCGCGGTGAGCCCCGCTCGCCAGCCACGCTGTCCGCCATTCTGCGCATGCACAGATCGCCCACACCCAGCTCTTCCGGGATGTAATCTACTCGCCACAGGTGAGTAGATTACATACACTGTCGATCCCTTATTAGCCACAAAGCATAACATTTTGCACTCTAACTGCATTCAATTTCAGTAGTTTTCACTGAGTTTATACCTGTGTTGGAGTTTAATTATGTATTTGATTAAGGTCACAGCTTAATGAATATTAAGCATTTCTTGGACAAACAGATAAAGAATGATTACTTACTATACTGTAACTATGGTCCTTCAAAATCTGATGTCCACACTGTAAGGTGTCCACTTGTGGTGTACATGCACCCTTGCTCAGACCCTTTTGGACTTGTAGCACCCATTAGGACTGCACCTGCACCCAGGAGTTTCCCCCTCCAAGTCTCCCTTGCTGAAAGCTTATCCATCCACCAATACAGAAAGCTACTGAAACAAGACTGTGAATTAATGGGAGATGGTGGACAGGCTGTGGACAACATATTTTAAAGAACTTGTTACTAGCAGGAAAGTAATCATTCTCTCTTCAAGTGATTGTCTACACAGATTTCACTCTTGGAGACTAACAAAATTCTTTAATTGCTTGAAGATGGATAAAAGAAGTCCTACTTGAATTCGGTTAGCAGAATAGCCTTACTGAAAATTAGAAGTTGAACTGGAAGCATACTCTAGGGAACAGTGAGTGGTAAATGTGTGGATTTGGATCCACTTAGCTACTTTACACATCTCAGATGAAATATTAACCAGTCAATAAAGGCTACTTCAACTACAGTGCAATTAACTTTTGATATGATCTTTTGAGCTGGATGATGTCATACAGAGATCCCTATGGATATAGGTTGCCCTCTGAGTGTGATTGCAAATACTACAAATATCCTAGATGTGTTCAATGAAAGCTGTTTTCATTGACAGGTAATAAAAGGAGGCGGCTGCAAGGGTGAATGGGGAGTCCCAATAAATCTAGCTAATATCATATTAAGATTCCAGAGAAAAGGGGGTACTGTAACTGGGGAGAAAACGTAAGTATTTTCAATAATATTGCCACTCTGTGTAAAAAAAACTACAATGTCACCTGGGATAGGATAATATTCAGATACTGGTGTTAGGAGAACTCTTACTGAACTGAGGAAAGTTCAGACTTGCCTCCAGGCTAGCTACCTGTTAGGACTCCATTTATACATCTCCACTATTGCTGAAACTGGGAGCAGAGTGGCGAAAGCCAGTTCTAACAAACTCACAGAGAAAACCTACTTAATTTGGCCTTGTATGTCAGTCTGGTCAAAGGCAACCTGCTTTGAACCAAAGTGCTCTGAATCTCAGTTGAGCAGCTTATCTCTGTGAATACCATCCAGTCTGCACTCATCCTGTCAGGTGTAATGCTGCATCCAGGTTCAGGAACTGAGTGATTATGTAAGGCAGAGCTGGTATGGTGGCTATGCAGATTGTTAAAGTCTGAATACTAGAACTCCTGGCTCATGCTGGGGCAGCCATGATGAGAGGATCAACACATTGTCTTGGGTTATTCAGTACCCTTGGTATCAAGGGTACTGTAGAAAGGTAAACATTAATCCTAGTATATAGTGAAGGAGGCACAAATCTGGTAGACAGTCTTGACTAGTATCCTCTCTGGTGCAAAGCATCCAACACTTGTAACATTGCAAACAGAAGCACTTTTGAGAGCCTCCATCTGCAAATGCTCAGCAGGACTGAATATTTGAGAGGCCACTCACAGTTTTCAGAAAAATCCCAGGTGAGCTGCTTTATGTTCTGGAGATTGGACAGGTAGAGAAATATCAGATGCATCATTCCTGCAGGTGTACAGTTTCTTAACAGAGTGGAAAGATTCTCTCTCACACTTGTCTGTTTATATAGTGTAACACTGATACTGTCTACAGATATTTGGGTTGCTGAGCACTA